CTGAAATGGAGGAAGAACATCTGGGTGAGGCAGCCTGAGAAGGTGATTTTCTTGTCACCAAACCAGAGGTTACTGAGCAGTTTGGGCATTGTGGTAGATGACAGAATCAAGTCAGTTTGGGCCAGCATGGAAAGGAAAAGGAACATGGGCTCATGGAGGCTGTGCTCCACAGCAATGAGGTACAGCAGGGCACAGTTACCTGCAATGGCCACAAGGTAGATAGCACAGAAAGGAATCGCGATCCAGATGTGGAACTTCTCAAGCCCTGGGATCCCCACTAGGGTAAAGGAGCTGGGGTTGTAGCTGCTTAGGTTGAATGTGGCCATCAGGTCTCCTGAACAGGTGATTCTTGGGCCCTGGAGAGAAGCCGAATGCCATAATTAACTGCCAGAGTTGATGGTGACACTGAGGAATGTGCCAATATAAAATTTTCTGTGTGCTTGGAGGGCTCTTCCATAGTGCAAAGAATTCTGCAGGGTGTGGTATACTGAAGAACTAACAGATTAGTGTTAACCTGGGCACTTTGCAGGAGGAGAATAGACAGAGGACATCTTGTGTCCCAGCAGAAGTGTATGCTAAATAAAGTAAGGAGAGTTATTCCTTCACACATGAAATATATATGTATACATACACATTTGTATCTCTTATATCTATATGATATTTAGACATAATTATATGTACATGTGTGTATTGATGGATATAAATGCTATTCACACAATATGTACCTAAATCAGTATATTATATGCATGTATGTATACAAATAAATTTCATATAAAAAGTGCTATTCACATTCAAATATATGCACATAGATATATATGTGTATGTATTGTGCTATTCATACACTTTATAGTTTAGAAACTTTTCTTAAAGCAACTCTTGAGGTAGGTAATACAAAGTGTTATGATCTCACTTTATAGATAAGGGCCTTGCATTCAGAGATTAAGTAATTGGCCTGTAGTGACTAAACTAATTAATTTGAGAACTCAGATCTTGTGACCTGGCCAGCACTCTTTGCATGAAATGGCAGACAATCAGACACTTAAATACTTAACAATACTGCCTATGGTGATCCTTGACCTTAGTAGAAGCTGTAAATTTGTCAAATGTGTCCTGATGTGTGGAGTACTGAATATTATAGCAAATAGCCTATTGTATAAGGATGGTATGATTTATTTGAGGATAGACATATCATTGGTATTGGGAGCTACTAATTAGGGACTTCCTCGATCAATGAAGATTGACATCTTCTCTGATATCTGTGGCATTGGAGTTGATTGGGGATACTTAATGGTTAAGTGACTTTCTCAGGGACACACAATATATTCCAGATGTGGAGTTGAACCCAAGTCTTTCTGATTTTGAAGTCAGCTCTCTATTCTCTATGCTTTGTTGCCTCTGATTTATATTCAAGGGGAAATGAAAATTGATCAATATAATAGTCACGTTATCAACATGCTAGAGGGGATCTCATGTTTCACTGAGGAATCTAGGACATTCCATATTTGAACAGGAGTCCTGTCTAATTCATCCCTAAAAAGTGGTCATGTAATGTTGACTTACAATGATAGGATTGTTGATTTCAAGCTAGAAGGGAGCTTAGAAATCATGTAATTCAACCTCCATAGTTTACACATGAGAAAACTGCTTCCCAGAGAGGGTGAATTGTTCAAGGTCACACAGGTTGTGGGAGAGCCATCTGTGGCCAAGCCTGGCCTTCTCCCTAGTATACTGTGAGCAGTGCCTCATTACTTCTAAATGGCAGCCCAAGTTATGTCTGAATAACTTTGTTAGAGAGTTTCTCTTATGTAGAACCAAAATATGCCTCCTTGTTAACTTTCTCCCATTGGTGTGAGTTCCTATCTGTGGGGCCAAGTTGAATAAACTGCATGCATCCCTATTCTACTTGCCAGCTTTGTGGAGCTTTGAAGACAGTGACCAAATCACCCCTAAATTTTATTTCATCTGCACTATACACCTTTCCTTCCTTGGAGCAGTTTTCATCTAGCCTGGTCTCTATTTCCCACACCATCCAGATTTTCATTTTATGGAGATAATCTCAAAATATGACAACCTGAATGAAGCCACAAACTAGCGCAGAGTACAGTGAGGTGATCACCCCTCTTCCTCCAGACAGTCATATCTGTGCTTGTAGCCTAAGAAAGCATAGAGCTTTTTAATTTCTGAGTCACATTATTGAATTATCTTGAGTTTATGCCCATTATAAGGCCAAATTCATTTGTGTTTGTTATATATTACATGACTTGTTATCTAGGCATGAACCACCCCATCCACCAATGCTTATTCTGCACTTATAAAATTTTTTTGAAGCCCAGTTCAAAACTTGACACAGATGCCTATAAAATTTTTTGCCAGTGATTTCAATCTAAAATAAAAAGTAGGGGGAGGATATAAACCATAGGTAAAGATACCAGCTGG